TAATTTATTGGTCACATAATTTCTGTGTTCTTGGTCCACCTGTTTCTGAGATATCTCTGTTCAAGAATCCCACTTCGGTGGTTGATTTCTCAGGTTCTACTTACATTCAATTGGTTCTTGCTTCGTATATTTAGAATTTGCAAATATTTTTGGAGTGGCCAGCTTGGTGATGGCAATTCCTCTCCCAGGGACCATGTCTATTATCATCATCGAAGATCTCCGTGGGTTCACATCCAACGTTTCTCCTCATTTTCCACACTTCTTCTGGAATATGTTTTCCTGGAACATCCTTTTGCATTCTTTTGTTTTCAGCATTCGTCTGTTTTTGGTTTTTTGATTACTTTATTTTAATATTGACATAGAGAAAGAAGGATTTTCCGACATGAAGTTCCTTGGGCTTTAGCGCACACATAGATTTGCGTAGCCACCACCGTGACCAGCACACAGAGTGGCTCTGTCACCCCGAGAACTCCCTCCTGCTCCCCCTTCACAGTCAGACCCTCCTCCAGCCCTGACCCCTGGTGACACCGGCCTTCCATCCAATTCTGTGATTGTGTCTTTTCTAGAATGTCACAGAAACAGAATCACACGGCAGGCAGCCTTTTCGGACTGGCTTCGTTCACTCGGCGTAACGCCTTTTAGCATGATCCACGCTGTCGAGTGCGCCGACAGTCTGTTCCTTCCCACCGCCGGCGAGGTCCCGTCGCACGGATGCACGGCTTGACCCGTTGATGGCAAAGGTGTTTGTTTCCAGATTTTAGCAATTGTGAATGGAACTTCGTAGACATTTATGCACAAGTTTTAGTGCCATCCTGTATTTTCACTTCTTTTGCATAATTGCCTCCAAGAGAAATTGCTGGGTCATATGTATGTGTCTGTCCAGATGTATAAGAAAGTGCAAACTGTTTTCCAATATAGTTGCCCCATTTTGCATTCCCATCAGCAACGTATGAGTCCCAGTTGCTCCACGTCCTTGCCAGCGTTTAGTATTGTGAAGGTCCCTTTAAAAAATGTCTTGCCATTGGATTAGCTGGGCCGTGGTGTCCCCTGATGGCTCTGATCTGCTTTTCTCTAGTGGCTGGGGGTGTCGTGCGCCAGCCCAGGGGCTTATCTGACGCCCACATGTCTTCTTTGGTGAAGTGTCTGTTTAAGTATTTTGTTTGTTTCTATTCAGTAGTTTGCTTTCTTAATCTTGAAGTTTGAAATTTCCTTATATATTCTTTCATTGGCTTATGTAATTTGCAAAGATTTCTTCCAGTACGTAGATTTTTTAAAATTCTCTTAACTGTGTCTTTTGCAGAGCAGAAATTTTTAATGTTGATGAAATCCAATTCATTACTTTTTTCTTTAATGAGTGATCCTTCTGGTGCCCTAAGAATCCTTTGCCTAACCCCAAGTCAGGACAACCTCTCCTTTGTTTTCCTCTGAACGCTTTGTGGATTTCCGTTACATTGAGACTGTGATCACGTTAGAGCTAGCCTTGTGCGCGGGAGGCCTGCAGCCTGCGTCAAGGACCGCTGATTTGCCTTGGGCGTGCACTTGTTCAAACGCCACTGGTTGAAAAACATTATCCTTTGTCTGTAGAATTGCTTTTGAACTTTGTCAAAAAATAACTTGGCCCTTTCTGTGTGGCTGTCTTCCTGAATTGTCCATCCTGCTCCAACGCATATGTGTGCGGCCCTTTCCAACACACACACACACACACACACACACGCACACGCACACGCACACGCAGGCACAGCCTCTGTAAACAGATGTGGAGAAATGATTCTTATCAGCCTGGTGTGGCTGATGTCCCTGTCACCATTCTGACCCGCCAACACACACCAGCACGTTCCTTCCCCAGCAGAGCCGGCCCGGGCTTGGACCTGCCCACTGGTCTCCGGCCTGAGATGGTGCTGGCCCTGGCCCTCCACCTGGCAAGAGCAGGGTATCATTCAACAGCGCCTTCCTGCAGGTAATGACTGGGTCAGTCTGACACCTACAGTTCCATCACCTGGGGTTATTGAGCATGCATGGGGGAGGCGAACCCTGGGCCTGAGAGGCACAAAGATACCATTGTGTGTCCTGGCATCCACCTGCAGATCCTGGTCCCCTGCTGGGGTCAGCTCTGCGTCGCAGGACAGATGTTCTAAGCCCAGGAACTACCCCAGGCCCAGGAAAGAGAATGGGAACTTCTAGCTCAGAGAGCAGCAGGGGCTCAGGTCGGCAGGGTGCCCCTGCAAACCCCCAAGTCTGGCCTCTGGTGTCCGTGCCTCTCATCTCACCCGTGTGTGAGACAGCCACAGGGCTACAGCGGAAGACTCTAGAACAACAGGGAAGCCAGAGCCACCAGAGCAATGACCAAGCCCCTCTCAGAGGCTGGCTCTTCCCCTCAGGGACCAAGTGAGCACTTGGACCAAGTCTCTACTCTCGGGTAGCTTAAATTCTAACTGGGGAAGATGACAGTAATCAAGGACACAGGCGTGAGCGGGAGCCCTCCGGGGAAAGATCGTGCTGCAGTGGGCTAGACAGAGCCTCCAGAGGGAACGTACACCCGGAGCCACAAATGTGAGCCGATTTGGGGAAAGGTCTTTGCTGATGTAATTGAATTAAGGATCTCTAGATAAGATCATCCTGGACTCAGGGCGGGCCCTAAATCCTAATGACAGGTGTCCTTATCACAGAAAGGCAGAGGGAGATTTGGGACACACAGGAGAGGCCACGCGAAGACGATGGCAGAGTGTGGAGTGATGCGGCCACAAGCCAAGGGATGCCTGGAGCCACCAGACACTGGAAGAGGCAGGAAGGGTCCCCCCTGGAGCCTTCAGAGAGACCCTCCGCCCCCACCTTCATATCATACTCTGGCCTTCCTAACTGAGAGACAAGGAATTTCTGGATTTTAAGACCAGTTTGTGGTCAGTTGCTACGGCAGCCACAGGAAACTTGAACACGCTGTGCAGAAAAGCAAGCAGGGAATGGGACACGATGGGGGTAGGGGTGACATTTCCACAGTGTGTCAGGGGAGATCTCCCTGCGGAGGAGACATCCAAGCTGGGCCTGAATCACAGAACAGGCCCTTACAGGACACTGTGGGGGACGTCCCAGGCACAGGGACACCGAGGCTGAGCCGGCCAGGCCTAGGCTGAGCTGGATTGAAAATCTGCCACTCTCCAAATCCTAAACCCTTTCTCCGGCACCCTGAGGCTCAGACCTCCAGCCCCCCAAATAGGCTCTTGGAACAGCTGGGCCGGGTGAGCCGCAGGAGGGCTGGGAGGGTGAGGAGCACAGGCCTCTTCTGTCCCCTGCCCCCATGGTTCCCAACACAAAAATGTTCCTTCTTCCCGTTTGGTCCACGTCCTACTCCACACGGCCAAGGTGGGAGTTAGTACTTGGAGAGAACAGGGGCCTGTTGATTCCTGAGGGCTTAATAAGCTGTTATTCAAAACGACAACCGTCCCTGCCAATTGGCAGAGGTTGTGGTGGGAAGGGATTGGGCGGTCTTCTGTGCCAAGCTCCCGGGGGACCCTGAGCCCTGGGTATAAAGGGCAGCTGCTGGAGGGCAGGGACAGCCTCTCCCAGCCCAGCCAGCGACCTGTCGGGCAGCCCTGCACAGACCCCAAGATGAAGACCCTGTTCCTGTTGCTTGGCCTTGGCCCGATCACTACCCTGCAGGCCCAGGACCCCTTGACCTCAGCCTCAGAGAAGCCAGGTGTGAGGCTGAGCTGGGCAGTGTGGGTGGGAGAAGCCCCTTCCCCACCAGGGAGCCCAGGCTTCTGTGCCCGGGAGATAGATCCAATTTAGGGCTCTGACCCTGCCTCTCCCGAGGCTGTGGCCAGAGAGAGCAGCAGATTTGGAGCTCCAGGACCGCCTCCTTATGTCATCTGCCCCCATGGGCAGGGGGGTGGGCCTTGAGAGAATGTGCTGGAAGAAGGGCCCCAGGTGGGAGAGAGCAGGTCTCCATGGCGTCAGGCACAGAGGTGTAGGGGGAGGCGATGGGGGAGGGGTGATGGGAGGTGGGCAGTAGGGGACAGGTGGGGGAGGGGGGTGAGCGTTGTGCGGAGTGGGGGGCTGGTGGCTGGGGTGACAGCGTTGGTGTGTGGTGGGTACTGTAGGTCAGTTTGCGTCAGGGTCGGGGCTGGGCACAGCAGGGACGGTGGGGAGAGGACAGCAGCAGCTGCAAAGGAAACACATTTTCCAGATTTCAGGGAAGTGGTATGTTAAGGCCATTGTCACAAACAAGGGGATCCTGGCAATGGAGATGTCCCCCATAACATTCTGAGCGCTGAGCAGCGGAGATGTGCAGGCCTCCTTCACGTCCATGTGAGTGACACCCGGCTCCACCAGGAGCGCCGCCGTCATCCGTCATCCGTTTCCCTGGCCCCTTGGTCTGGTCTCTTGCCAGGCCAGTCGGGGGCCGGAGAGGCTGCAGAGCCAGGTCCTCCTGCCATCTCATTGGTGTGGGATGTCGGTAAGGGCTTCTAACTCTGGAGGGGAAGGGGCCCCAGGGCAGCTCCGCTGGGAGGAGGGGAGACGGACCTCATCAGAGTCTGGTCCCTTGTGTTGCTCCGAGGTTGGGGGTGGTGGTGGGGAGGGCCTCGTGCCTCCCCCAAAGCAGAAATGGTCATGAGGCCGCCGCCCTGCCCTCCTGGCTTGTTCCCCAGGATGAATGGTCAATGCCGTGAGCTAGAAACCGTCCTGGAGAAAACCAACATGCCTGGCGAATATAGCACCTGTGAGTCCGCCAGCTCTTGGGAGAGACAGGGGCCGGTGACCCCCAGAGAGGGAGCCCATTTCCTGCGTGCCTTCCACGCAGACACCCCACCCTGCTGCGGATGCAGCCTCTGCCCAGGAGGGGCTGTCACAGTACTGTGGCCATGCAATATGGGGACCCCAACACCCTGGGCTCAGGCCAGGCTGGTGCACCTGGAAACAGGTGTCGGACCCGTGAGGCACAGCAGGTGGGAGCCCGCACCCCAGGGTTAGGTGCCAGCGTGCCCTTTCTCCCCGGCCTGGCGCAGTTTGGGGCCTGAGCCACCTGCACGTAGGGGGCTCGTCTGTGGAGGACCACCACCTGTTTTACTGTGAAGGACAGTTCCAGGGGGAAGAATTCAGAATAGCCGAGCTCATGAGTAAGTTTCCCGCCACTCCCGGGCCCGCTCACTCCGCGGTGGCTGCCCGGCCCCACCCCCTCTGCTCTGGAATCTGCTGGACCCGGTGTCAGCCCCTCCCTGGGTGCAGGTGCGACACCTCTGGCACCTCCACCTCCGGCACCTCCGAGCGGAGCAGCATCTGCGTCGGGAGCGGCAGAGGCGCCCGTGGCCTGCCTGTCCCGGGCACCACCGCGTTCTGCTGGTGGCCAGTTCCTGCTCCCGAGCTCCATTGTGCGAACAGGGTGGGCCGGGCAGGGCTGTCCAGGACGGGGGCAGGCGTGGCCTTTGGCGACACAAGCCTGCCAAGCGCCACTTGCTGGGGCCTCGGGTATTGGGGGGTCACCTCAAGGCGGCGTTAGTGTCCTGACAGAGGCCTTCGTGGGGCAGAGACCCTCCAGGGTAGGGAGGCAGCCCAGTGCCTCTAGGACACAAGGTCCTTCCAGAGAAGGGTGCGACCCTGCAGGGCAGCTCTGGAGCCACCCAGGTCCCCCAGGGTCACTCAGTGGCTCGGGGAGTCCCCACCACTGTCCCCCTTCCCGGGGACCTGTCGGCTGGGCAGTGGCCATCTCCTTGCAGCATCTGCTCTCTGCACAGCCGTGCGGTGATCCCCACCTCAGCTCACCTGGCCACCTCCCCTGCAGGTAAGAATCGAGACATAAACCAGAAGGCCCTGGAGGAATTTAAGGAATTGGTTCGGCGTAAGGGACTCTCAGAGAAAGACATCTTCCTGCCCGTGCAGACAGGTGAGAGGATGGCTCAGCCCAAGTCCCCTCTGTACCCCCAAATCTCTCTGTGACCTCCAGGGTACCCCCATGTCCCCAGGCACTATCATGTACTCCTAGGTACCCCGTGACCCCCCAAGTCCCCTCACAGGATACCAGCGCTCTGCTTCAGTCCTTGGTCACAGGCAGGTCTGAGCTGGGGCTGTGGTGGGGTCTGGGCCCCTGTCCAGAGCGTCTCCTCACCCTGGGTCTGTCTTGGTCTCTACAGAGAGCTGCATTCCTGAACGACACTAGGTAAGTGGCACTTGCAGCAGTAAGAGCCCTGGGGTTCCACAGGCGTCAAGATGCCCCCGGGGCACCTTGAGTTGTGGGCAGGAGGGACCCTGCCTTCTCTGCTCTGAGATCCTGCCCGTCCTAAACATCATTCCCAGGACACTGGGGGAGTCTTTTCTCTTCTCTAGCCGTTGCCTGGGTTCACAATTTGTGCAACTTGGAAACAGCAGGCAGAGTCCAGCTCCCTGTGCCCAGGCACTGGTGGAAGCCACAGATCGTCACTGGTCTGTCAGACATGACGTCCTTTCATCCCCTCCTCCGGCTGTCACCTGGGTGTGCCACCTGCCCAGCACGCACACTCCCCGCAGCTCGCCATGCTTACAGGTGTCCCATCACTTGCCACCCACGAGCCCCTCTGCCTCAAGTACAACACATCCACATCAGACCCACTGTGGGCAGAGCCGGGCACCCTCCGGGCCCCGCGATGGCCCCATTCCCTCAGTTGCACCCTCGATAGGCCTCTCCCAGGGGGGCAGGTCTTTGGTCGTGGGGAGCCCTTCTGTCAGGCCAGCTCTGCAGCCTGCAAGAACCAGGCATCTGTCCCCCACACCACAACCCCTGAGTGCCCAGTGTGTACCCCCACCCTGCAGCCCCCTACCCCCTGTCCTGTCCTCACTGGCCACCCCACTCCTTTCCAGGGCAGGGGGCACCTCAGCTCCCCAGCGCCCAGGGCAGACCACGCAGCTCCTCTGCGCAGGGACGTGGGAGGATCCCCCAGGGCCCGGCCGGCTGCACCCCTCCTGTCACCCCACTGCCCTCTCCCCTGCACCTCTCTCCTGTTATGCATAAAGAGCTTCAGCAGTCCCCAGTGACTCTGCTGTCTGTGGGGCCCTTGGGTGCTGCCTGGAGGGTCTGCTGGGAGTGGGGAGGGGTGGGGAGCAGGTGCAAGGACCAGGGGACCCAGCCTTGTCCTGGTTCTCCACGGTGCATGCCACAGGCCAAGGGGCACAAGGGGCCAGCTGGAGGGTGGATGCAGGTGGCTGCCCGAGGGTCCCACGGCGCTTCCTGCAGATGCCGCCGCACGGAGCTCGGCTCTGGGTGGGGGGAGGGGTGGGAGGATGAGCCCTTGGGATCCAGCTCAGCAGACGGAAAGGACCCAAAGCTGAGGGGCTGGCCCTGCAGGGGCTCCCCAACCTCTATCCCTGTTTCTTCTGGGGTCAGACTTGAGGGGTCCCATCCCACAGGGAGGGGGATGACAGGCCTGCCTCAGCCACTAAGAACACTGATCACTGCACCTTCCCTCCAGGGAAGGTTCAGAAACTCCATGTGACCTGCCCCTTTCCGTCCTGAGAGGCGCAGGTCACCCACCCGCCCTGCGCTGCCCGCCCCCGCCTCTGCCCTCCCCACATCCTGGCTCAGGTGTGTCTTCCCTCCTTCCCCAGCTCCCGAGTGGCTCCAAATGGGGCCTCTGATCGTCCTTAGGGCGAGTGGCCCAGTCACCTGGTCCCCCCGCATCAGCACGGAGCCCTCCACCTACACGCAACCTGAGCACGGTGTCTCTGTTCCCACTTGGAAGATTTTCCTTCACGTGCTCGGTGAATAGTGCGCTCGCTCTTACCCTCTCAAACCCTGCCACATGAGCTCTTTTTTTAATAATGTATCGAGGGAAAACCCACAGAACATAAAATCAACCGTTTTAGAGTGAACAATTCCGTGGCATTCTAGTACATTCACCATACTGTGCGACCACGACCACTGCCGGTTCCGGAACGTTCGTCGCTGCAGCGGGAAGCCCGTCCCCTTCCCCTGGCCCCGGCGGCCGCGGATCTCCTGTCTGCGCGGATCTGCCTTTTCCGGACATTTCCAATAGACGAGACCATGCGGTCTGTCCCCCTGCGTCTGGCGTCCGGCTGCTTTTCCTCAGCACAGTGTCGTCAAGGCTCATCTGTCGCAGCAAGTGTCGGAACTTGGGTCCGTGGTGCAGACAGACCACGTCGGGTGTCGGTGCCTTTGCAGGCGGACGCTTGGGCTGTTTCCGCCTTTGGCTTCCGGGAATGGCGCTGCTGGGAGGTCCGTGCGCGCGTACTTGTTTGAACCCGCATCTGCAATTCTTTGGGGTCGAATGAGTTTTGTGCGCTTTCAGTGTAGCTTCTGTGGGTTTTCTCTCCTCCTTCTACGTCTTAGGTCTCAGTGTCCTTCTGTGCTAAGTCCGGGTGACCTCCCACCCGGGGACCCTGGGAGGCCGGCTCCGCCAGAGCTCTGGGTGCAGGCACCGTAGGGATCCATGTTTTCCTTTACAAGCATCTGGGTCAGTCAGAGTTATTGACCACAAATACCAGAAGCAAATTCTAGCCAATTTAAGCAGAAATGAAATCCAACAAGATGATCCTCTTCCTCCCAGAATTCACGGGAAAGGGATCTGGACACAGGGCTTGAGGGTGCACAGGAGCCGAGGAGGGGGCCAGAGGGACAGCCCCACCCCGCCCAAGCAAGGGCCTGGTCTGTGGGGGCCGTGGTTGCAGGTGTCACCAACCCGGGACACGCGCTGTATTAGCTTTGACAACAGTGACTGCAGACGTCTGTCTGGCCTCTAGAACTGTGAGAGAATCGACTTCTGTTATTTCAGTCCCCCAACTTTGTGGTCATTTGTATGGCAGCCCCAGGAAACTAACACACACACAGACACACACATATACAGAGACACACAGACACACACAAAACACACAGACACACACACACACACAGACACAGGCGCACACAGGGCACTACCTCGAGACAAGAGCCCTCACATCAGGCCCAACCACAGTGCTTCTGAACACCCACGTGAGGACAGGGGCCACCCCTGCCCTTCACCCTGCAGGGCTAGACCCTGCTGTCAGTGCTGCCAGCGGAGCCCCCCCTCCCCCACTCCTGCCCACCCGATGAGGCAGGAGCCCAGAGGCCGAATGCCGCGGGAGCGTGTTTCCCAGGCTGGGCGCCTGCACCGGGCTGCACTCGCAGCCTGCTGCTCAGAGTCCCAGGCAGACGTTGGCCGGAGTCCCTCTCTTGTTTCTTTGGTGACATCTGCCTGACAGAGGAGGGGCCGCACAGAGTGGTGCCTGTGGGGGAGCATGGCATCTTCCCGGGGGGTAGGGGGCGGGGCGAGCTCAGTGAGGCCCCTCCCACCCCTCATGGAGAAATCACGGGCAAATCGCAAATCAGGCAGCTTCCCTAAGACTCCATTCCCCAGAGGTCAAAGTCATCCTTTGGTAGGAACTTTGCATTTTTAAGCTCCTTTGTAAATGTGAGGTGTCAACCTGAATAACAAACAGAGACAGATTCTCCAAAGATAATGAGTTTATTCAGGAATGGGCAAAAGATTGCAGGTGAGGTGTGCGTATTCAGGGAGCTCCAGGCAGGGGACGTTTTAAAGGAAACAGGGAGTGCGTGTGGGTCATTTTGAGACAAAGAGAACACTGGTTCTCTTTGGTCAGGATTCGGTCCAGTCTACAGGTAGATGATAAAAATTCCGGAGCAATGAACAGGGCTGCAGTCTACTAACAGGTGAACTACAGTTTTTCTTCTGAAATAACTTTTCTTTTGAAATGTAATTTTTCTCTACTGTTACCCTCATTTTTCCCAAAGACATTTAAAATAAGGCCAATTTGTTTGTACAATAAGTTTAGCCTCATCAAATTTGGCCTGATCATTTACATAAGTACTGCAAGGCTAACAACTGACCACGCAGGAACCTCAGATTTAAAAACCTCTTTAAGGTTAGGAAGCCAAATCAAGGCAATTTCAGACTTTGTCTGCAGTACATACAAATAATTTTAAATATGACATCCCAGTCAAATCCTTGTTAATATAATCAATATTTCCAATTGTATCCTGTTATAAAGAGAGCAGATTCCTATTGAACTTATGCTCAACAACTGTTTACCATATAAATAAAAATACTCATGAATAGTTTCCAATTCTGAGGGGATCAGACAGGCAGCAAAGGTAAATGTTTCAAATTTTGTTCATAAAAGTCTACTTTACCAAATCATTGGAAACTATGGATGGCTTAAGAGAAAAAGTTTCCTTAAATCTGGAAACCAAAACACTAAAATAAAGAATGGACAAGATTTTAAATAAAAAGTTATAAACACATTATTTTCATCAGTTATTTAGTCTCATGTAATCAGTTCTTGCTCTGCTGATGGTGGTTAGCAGTTCCATGAATCCACCAGTTTCTTCGTTGGAGTTCTGGAAATTGTTACTTACTCCATCGATCTTAAAGTCGTCAGAAATCAGTATTGAAGAGAACTTGTCAGAGTTTCTCCCATGCTTTCCATGAAGAAGAACGCAATTTTGGACTGTAATTTGGACTGCAAATGCATTTAGAAAAGAATCAAAACAGTAGATAACGAAAACTTAGACTGGCCACAGTTAAAAAACGAATGAGAATGCGTGATACTAATGACACAGCTGACGCGGAAACTCCACCGCATACATGTGTGCACACTTATTGCTGCTGTATACAACAGTGTGAGAACAACCAGAATCAAGGATTGCCAGTGTCACACCAGGACCATCAGCTCTATAAATTTTATATAATCTGTAGGACATTCACATCAATAACGTATCCGTATAAACACAAATTTGAAAGATTTGGCATCACTTTAGTATTGACGATGCTTCCCATACAGCCCAACACAGCGAACGAGCCCAGCTGGTTCAGTATCGCTCCTTTATGAAGGCGCATCACTTGGGGTTTCCAGGGGCCCAACAGGAAAATACCAAAGTCAATTTTAGCTTAAAAAGATTTAATTTAGGATTTGATTTGGGGGAAGTTTGTCAAAATCTCAAAAGGTTTAAAACATTTGATTAAAAT